AGCAACCTCAAAAACATCGGGTTTCAAGTAGATAATAAGCATACATAAACATGGAGTTTTATGTTTAAATAATAGTTTAGCTATCAACTGAAGCTTTTTGATAAATGATTTTGCTAAACCTTTCTAAGTATGAACATGAGCAACATGCTCGTTCTACCTTTATTCTAATAGCACTGTCTATAATCATTTAATACTTAGAAGATAAATTCACCAACATTATTAAGATGAATTATTTTAATGGCATAATTTAGAATTTATGCTCATGATCAAATTATTTGAACCAACAATCTCAAAAACACTAGGTTTCAAGTAGATAATAAGCATACATGTGACCATATTGTGGATGTATTTATTAAAATCATAAAATATTGAAATGATCCATATGGTAGATGAATTGATCCACATATATCACTTTGAATACATCATAAAAATATTAGAGATTCAATCTCAATTTTACTTGGTGATGACTTAATAATCAATTTGCTTTGAGAACAAGCAAAACATGAAAATTAATTAAGTTGAAGAATCGTTTGACTCATTAATAGATATCTATATGATTTTTCAATAATGTTTTACATCATGAAAGACCTAGGATAACCTAACTTCGTTATGTCACATAATAAAAGTATTTAAATTAGTAAACTTCTAGTTTACTATATCATTTGTTTCAATCATACAAATGTTTGTAATAAAGACCAAAAGAGAAGTCGAATAAATTTTTCAATATATATTTTCTACTTTGATATAATAATTATAATATATAAGTATTCAATAATTTCACATTTTCTATTTTGATATGCTATCAATTTAAATGAATATCTTTGAAACTCAACAAATTTCTATGAGACTTTAGAGAGAATAGTACCTCATTTATAATAAATTTTATCATTTTAAATAATAACATATTTGCTCTTCCGGAGCCTTTAAATTCGTCACTTCAAGTAATAATATATTCACTCTTCTACAGACATTTAAAATTTTTTTCTTCAAATAATAATATATTCGTTCTTCTAAAACCTCCAAAATTTATCTTTTTAGGTAATAATATATTCGCTATTCTAGATCCTTCTATTAAATTGATACAATCAAATATAATATTAATATAAAATAAATAATTAAATAAATATAAAACAAATAAATAAATATATTCCTTCATTATTAACTCGAATAAATATATAGCAAAATAAATTTATAACTATCACTATACGATAGAAATTATAAGAAATATAAAATAAATATAAAAACTAAGTAATTGATTTCAATTACTATTATTTTGATATATAAAAGTGATCTCTATATTTTACTCATTGTTTTTCAACGAGACATGATAAGAGTCAATGAGGTGCTTTGGTGTATGCGACCAATGTTAATTCATACTACATTTATAAAATTCATTTTCAACATACTAACTTGATCCATTTTTATTCTTTTCTTATTTTTTATAGTTTATCCATTTTTGGTGGTGAGGTGTATTATGATGGTCATCACGATTATAATGATAATTATTCGACTACATGCATGGCTATGACCACATCTTTATCCATGTCTAAAATTATTATAAGTTATGATATTCACTTTAAGAAATAGAGTAGATCCAGTTGTACCGCATTTATTATTTTTTATCGGTAGCTCATTGTTTTATTTAGCCATGAGTAAGTATGAAATCAATTCGAATATTTTTTAAAATATTTATCTCAATATTGCTACTATATGAGCATATTCGAGATGTGAAAAGTAGAGAATATTTATCCAACATCAAGCACCTATGATCAATAATTTTTTCTTAAAATGTAATGGGTCACAAAATCAAAATTTGTGAGGTCCGATATAATAAAAATTTTATAATGCAAAGCGTAATAATAATAACATTAGGAAATAAGAACAAAATATAATATAAAATTTAAAACTTTCAAACAATATATATTAGATCATTAGATTCTATACATTAAACCATTTAAGTTTTTTCAAATATATATTCTATGTATTATTAGATTTAAAGTACATGATAAATTAGATACATACGTGTTAATGATCTAGATAATTTAGATATTTTGATAGAACACTCGTGTAGAGAAACAATCTAATGATTGAAATAAATAATTGAGTCTTTTGGTAGATACATACCTTATAGTCTATTATCTTGGTTGGTTAGAGCTTCATACTAATAACATGTTATAAAAGAAATGGTAACAATAATAGAATTGAAGAAAAATGATAGAGAAATGATTTCACTATGAAATAAAGAGATACAAGAGATAATAACTCTAAATAATTCTCTCAATCTCTATAAAATACTTGTATGTAAACTAATGAACTATAAAGCCTATTTATAGACTTTAACATTAGGAAGAGAATTAAAAGGAACTATGAACCATTAAAAGTACAAAAATTATTGAATCAATTACATCATCCTTTTAATTTCTCATATTGAATGGTGAATTGAATCACATTAAGAATTATAGTAGTGGGGATATGAAAAGCATATGAACATTCATATGGAAATTCATTATTTCATAACATTAGTTATATTTTTATTTTACCAATTTATCATTTTTTTAATTAAGTGTGTATTCTTTAATTTTTATTATTTGAATAGTTCAAGTTATAATTTTTTTCTAATAAATTATTTCTACTAACTTCTATCAGTTTGATACAAACATAGACGTTAATTATACACGTGGCACCAACAACTAGGCCCAATTGTCATTTTTTTTTTTTTGGTAAACTTGACATTTTTTTTTTCTATTTGAATGTTTAAGCTTCGATTTTTATTATTTGAGTGTACTCGATTTGCATCTTTTTATTTAATTGATTTCTTTAATTCTAGGTCGATGTGTTTGTTAGTTGCACTCATAAAACCATTATATAGGCCCATTGTTAAGACACATGACAACTAGGAAAAAAAATAAAAAATAAAAAATACTGATTCATTCTTATTCTCGGATAATAATAATAAAAACAAATAAATTACATAATGATAATAATAGGGATGGCAATGAGCCGGGTATAAAACATGTATCTACTTACCTGGCCTAATAAATAGCCATTAAAAATGTCGAATGGGTATTGAAGTATGTTAGCACCTAAATTTTTCCCAACAAATAAAAAAAATACAAAAAAGAAAAAAAGAAAAGGGATGAAAAAAATATAATTGAAGGATGTAATTGAAAAAAAAAAAGCAAAAACGATCAAAGTAAAATAAGCTTACGGGATGAGGGACCAAAATAAAAAAATCCTAAAAAAATCAGTATAAATATCACTTTTTCTCTTAAAAAGGCGAGTTACTCTCTCTCCGGAAAATCTAGTAGCCACACAAACCATCCCTCCTTAAAAATTCTAGCTAGCCCCTCCTTCACGTCAACTCATCCTTTCCAGCTTGTCTAGTCGGTTAGCAGTCAAACCTCCAACTACTCCAAATCAAACCAACACCCTTTTAGCTGGTTCAGCCACTCTTCTAACTCCTCCATGTTTAGCTCCTCCAGCCATGACAACTTTTTCTCCTTCATCGATTCGGCCTAGGTAACGACTCGATCCAACTCGACCGACGGCCTCAGAAGAGGACAGCTAAAATGATGAGAAAAGATAAACAAAAGTGAAAAAGAGAGGAAACATAGGAGAAAAGGAAAAGATGTGATTGATGATGATGATGGTGATTATGTGTATGTTGTCAATATAGAGGTCAAGGAGATATAGATTACAAATCGATGATAATTTCAATTATATTAGTACCGAAGATGAGAGTGATGCAAAAACTACTAAGAGAGTAAAATCAAAGAAAATTTATTTCAATTTTAATTAGGAGAAACCCTTCTTTCAACTATAAATGATTTTCTTAACTAAAAGGATATTTAGAGATGCGGTTATTAAACATGGTATAACAGTACTATAAAAATCTAAAATTTGATAAGAGTAACTAGATAGATGTAGGGCTATATGTAGAGATGATAATTGTAAGTGGGTGATTTTATATTATCCCTATTTAGATACTGAAAATTGGGTTATGAAAACTTATAGTGGTGAACACATAAGGATTCAAACCTCACACACTAGGTTGGCCAATTACAAGGTAATTTGTTGAACACTTCAAAAAGAAAGGAATTGGTGTCATAAGAATACATGTTTTTTAATTAGTAGATGAAACTTTGAAAGAGTTATACCATACTGTTAGTCTTTCTAAATGCAAGAATAGTTTGAGGTTGTTGAAAAATATATATATTTTTTTTGATGAAGCTAGTAATGAATTTCAATGGTTAGAGGATTATGTTATAGATATTAGAAAATCAATAAAAATAGTGCTTTGTAATACAAAAAGATGGTGATAGATATTTCAAAAGAATACATATTGGTTTTGAGGAATTAATAAAGGGATTTAAGTATGATGTAGAAAAGTAATTAGGTTTAATTGTTGTTTGCTAAAAATCCTCTTAAAGAAGAGATTTTTTATGTTGTTGGTCGGGATGCTAATAACCAAATGTTTCTAATTGCTTGGGCTATTGTGAGATGGGAGAGTATGAACACTCGGAACTTCTTTATCATTCAATTGATGATTGATTTAGAAATTAGCATGAGAAATAGAAAAGGATATACCTTCATTTCTAATAGTCACAAGGTATTAATATTATCTTTTTATTTACAAATGATAGTGTTTGTCTAATGTTTTGATTGTTTGTTTAATACTTTATTTTGACTTTTTCTTTTGTAGGATTTGATTGGAGTAATTCATGAGATAATTCCATATGCTATGCATAAAAGGCGTGTAAGGTATATCTTTGCCAAGTGGAGAAAAACCTACAAAGGTACTACTCTACATAAGTAGTTTTGAGCAAGTGTAAAACAAGCACACCAATAGACTCGAAGAACATCCGAAGAAAATTGGTGGGACTATAAAAGAAGAATTTATGGAAATAGACCCAACGTTTTAGTGCGAAGCTTTTTTCAAAATTCATTATAAGTCCGACATAGTTGATAATAACTTATGTATAACTTTTAATGCTTTTATAATGGAGTCAAAGATCAAAAGTGTTATTTCATATCTTGAAACCATTAGACATTTAGTATTGGTTAGAAATGCTAAGAAGAGGAATAAGTATAGAGAGAAGTTTAAAAAGGGGATTAGTTTAGGAATATGGAAGAAGATCGAAGATGCACGAGATGAATTCCGAAGATACAAGATAAAACACAACCACCGAATGGATGTGAACTGAATGACTCGGAGAAAGCTTATGTTTTTTAATTAGAAAGACATCAATGCACTTGTAGGAAATAGGATCTAAATGGGATACCATATGGCCATGCAATGGCTATTATCATAACCTTGAAACTGAACGAGGTTGATTATTGTCAAATGCTATAAGTTAGAGAAATTCAAGAAGAATTATGAGCATTACATTTAGCTAATGTTGAGTAAGAAATTCTAGCCTAAAAGTGGGAAAGAGGCTATTTTTGTACAAATTATTGAAACCAAAATAGGCAAATCAAAGAAACTTAGGATTAGAGAACAATGAGAGTCTTCTTCAGAGCACAACTATCCAAGAAAGGAACGAGTTATGAGATGCACATATTTCCATAGAAAGGGATAGGATAATAGATCATGTATTTAAAAGGTAAACATATTTACTAGACTGTTATTACTTCAATTATATCTATATTGTATTGAGTTTGTTTATATCTTATTCATGTAAAAAAAATAAAAACATTGATGGTAGCTTAACTGGATATGTTATAGCTGGTCATGATACGAATGTGGTTAATGATGTTGAAAGTGTAATTGGTGGTGAAGATATAGGTAGTGGACATGATGATGTTGTCCAAGCTAGTGTGGTTGGCAATGTGGACAATTGACATAATGTTGTTGATACTACTCGCTGAAGATATGGCTAGATAGGGTTGTGGACATGATGATGATGTTGATACTACTTGCTAAAGTTATGGGCAAACGGGGTAGTGGACATTATGATGATGTTGATACTACTATAGAAGATATGGGTAAACAAGGTAGTAGACATGATGATGTTATCCATGCGATTGCTACTAGAAATATGGGCAATTGACATGATGTTGATATTACTTGCTAGAGATATAGGCCAATCAAACATTTTGATACCGATGGTGAAGAAGTTACACCAATTATTAAAAAAAAGAAAAAAAGAATATATAATGCCAATATTGCTACTGTCGAATTACCTACAAGAGTTATATGCGGAAATAAAACAACTCAATCTAAAGTATTTAGAAGGGTGACAAAGAGAAACACCATTTGAACACCTTTTATGTTCTATTTATTTATTTATTTTGTTTACATATGGTTAGATGCTATGAATAACCTCTTGAACAACTTAGACATCTTTTGTACTTGAAACTTTTTTTTATGCGAAACTTTTTTTTGTGAAGAAAGATCTAAAAAAGTCCGAGTCCATTGCTTTTGTTAAATTAATGTATTTTTTTCAACATTTTGTTAAATTTGTTAGAACCATAACAAAAAATAAAAACATCATAAATAAACCAAATAATATACTACAATTTGAAATTCAATAAAATAACAAAATAATTATAATTATAATTTAAAAGAATTATATCAATCCTTAATTATAATTCAAAACCATGACATCAATTCTTCACTTGATGAAAATCAAACCATATCGAAACAATACATAGAAAGTTATTCCCATGTTTAGTAATTTCTTACTTCTAGAAACCTTCAATTCTGAAATTTTTGACTCTAACTCTTCAATTTTGTTAACCAATTTTTTATTTTCTTTCTCATAGGCAAGTTCTTAAAATTTTGTTCAACGAGACAATAACTCATACTCTTCTTCTTCTTTCTTCAACTCATCTCTCAATCTTTGATTTTTGTAGGAAAAATGATGAATTCAAGCAAGGAAACCAGAACCAAAGCAAGGAGAAGAAAAGTCACCAAAGATTTTAAGGAGTCACACGATCGTGTGACTAAAAAAGGAAAATAGCTATTGGCTACGTGATACTAGTGAAGAAACCGTGTGGAGTGTTCCGTTACAAAGCTACAAAGGGAGTAGCTTCCCACATTACTAGAGGAAGGAAAGTGACATGTTCTTACGGATGTTAAGAATGGAGTACCATTCAAGAGGAAAGAAGGCATCACATGGGTAGTGATCATTCCGTATAGGATATACTAAAGAGAGACACGCCCAAGTATTTCAAAGCTAGAAAAAGTCCACACGAGTAGAAGAAAGTTACAAGGAATGAAAAACAAACCCATACGACCGTATGCCTATTCCCATCAAACAAGTGCAACACCAATTCTCCAAGGCTCTAAACTCGTGTGAAAGGAAAAACTAGTCGTGTTTCTTTGTTATGCAAGCTATGTGATCGTGTGGGACCGACATGTGCTTGTTGTAACCCTACTTTTAGTTATAAATAGTGATGTTAGCATATTATTTTTAGATTTCATTTTGTAGCAGATCACCATTGATAGAAAATTGTCTTTTATAATCAATTATGAATAACTAAACATCTATCTTGGTTGAAGAAAGTTGAAGCTTTTGGTTAAATCATTTTGATATCGTAACGGGTTTTAATTCTAAACTTATTCTTTTTGAGTATTTTATATTTTTCTAAGTGATTGAGTTATGATTATATGATTAAATTGATTAGAGTGCACATTAGTTATTTGATCATCATAATCTATTACTAGCTAAGTATTTAAGCCCACATAATTACTTGTCTAAACTTGATTGTGGTAGTAACTAAAAATTAATTATTATAAATGCATTTTCATTTAATCCCTTAGAAAACATAGAATTAGATTACATTTTTCTAGCATCTAGAAGGGTGGTTTAACTTCACATCTCTTTCTCTACGTTAATGTTGTTATTGGATTAAATTTATTAAGCGTCTAATAAGTTGCTTGATAGCTAGAAAATTAAGTAAGTATCATATATTTAGTTAATGAATCACTAAGAAAAGATTGGTGACAACATACATGTCGTTGTCCTCCGATGAATATTCATGTTAAGGATAGGTTAATAATTGAATTAATGATCGTCGAATAAACCAAAAATGGATATAAAACTTCAACCAAAGCTTTCTTTTTATTGTTATTTCTAATTATTTACTTTTGCTTATTTACAAATCATACTAAAAACAAACCCTTCTTTAATTTCTTTGCACTACAAGAACAATGAGACAATAGAAATCATTAATTAGGCCATTTTTTATGGGTTTGACCCTTGGTTGCCTTGTCTATACCCTTAAGATTGGGTTCTATGAGGAAATATAAATTACTAATTTATTAGTGGTACAACACGTCATCAAATTTTAGTATCATTATCGGGATGAATCGTACTCAAGTTAATTATTTCTTGATATTTGGACTTTTTTTATTGTTTTTATCGAGTTGGTATATGATCGGATCGTAACCGGGTGATTTGATTTTTAAGCCCAAACTAGAAAAGGAATTGAGCAAGTTAAGGAGGGAAGTTAAACTAACTTTGATAGAGAGGATTAAGACATCCGAGAGAGTGGTTTTTACATCATCGGGCATAACTACCATTCTCAAATTGTTATCGTCAAGTGATTCTTAAGGAGAAGTAATGGTTGCAAATAGGTGAACAAAAATTTAAAGGAGTTAGTTGCTCCCGATCTTAATCAACAACTCTTATGTCTTGAGTTCTCCAATCTTGATGTTGCATTTGAATTAAAATGAGGATTGATACAATTGTTTCCAAAATTCTAAGGTCTTAGTAGAGAAGAACCCCACAAACATTTAATGGAGTTCTATATGGTCTCGCTCAACTTTGAGATCGCAAGGGGTATCAAAAGAGCATATCAAGCTATAGGTTTTCCTTTTTTCATTGGATGGGGATGCTAAGGACTAATTGTGTGATCTCCTTGTGGGATCTATTGATTCATGGAACTAGATGAATCAAGCCTTCTTGTTAAAATATTTTCCTTCATGAGATCTATAAGTATACGAAGGAGATGCTGTGATATTAGATAGTTCAATGGATAGACATTGTGTGAGTATTGAGGGTGGTTCAAAAAGTTACGTGCTTGTTACCCATACCATCGGATTTTTGATCAGCTACTAATTACATACTCTTATTAGGGATTGCTTATCTATGAAGAGGGTCATGATAGATGCTGATAGTGGAGGCGCACCTGGTAGATAAAACACCTATTGCTATAAGAGCTGCGATAACTAATATGGCCATAAATTCATAATAGTTTGGTACGAGGGTTGATCACGCACTAAAAAGGATAAATGAAGTCAATATATCTAGCTTGGAATAGTAAATGTGTTACCTAACTTCACTAGTGAGATAGATAGTTGTGGAAAATCTACAAGCTCGTTAAAACTTATGAAATTTATTCGATTACGAGTCACATCATGGATACGTGCCCAACACCGTAAGAGGGGCACGTTGAACAAGTTCATACTGTTAGGAATTATAGGGGTGATCAATCTAAACTCTATGACCTTTTCTCTAACACCTACGACCCCGATTGGAAAGACCACCCTAATCTAAGACAATTGATAAGGACGGCGGAATTTCTACCGAGTAAAGGCAACAAGGCTATCAACCTAAGCCTTTTTAGCAACATAAGCCCCAAAGCTTAGATCATTCACTAGAAGAAATAGTGAAGTCTCTTGCTTTGAGCATAAAGCAATTCTAGTAAGAGATAAGGTCCGGCATAAAAAATCTAGAAAATCGGATGAGCTAGATGGTGATCGTTATGAGTTGCTTAGAGACTCAATCTAAAGGGAAGTCGTCATCCCAAACAATGGTCAATTCAAAGGAAAAAATGAGTGCTATGACATTAAGAAGCGATGCTCTAGTACAAAAACCAAGCAAATTGATATTTGAGGTAGTTGAAGAAGAAAAGTTTAAGTTGGAAAGACAAAAAGAGAGCACGCCACTTGATGGGGCTACACCAAGCCTTAAGGTAAATGCTGACCATTCTATTTTATTTTTGATCGACCATGCACCTTTTCATAGTAGGTTAGAAAAACCTAGAAAAGAGGAGATGAAGAAAGAGAAAGAAAAGGAAATCTTTGAGCTATTCAACAAGATCGAGGTGAATGTGTCTCTCTTAAAGGCAATAGAGTAAATGCTAAAGTACACTAAGTTCTTGAAGAACATGTGCATGAAAAAGAGAAATCTAGATAACAATAAAAAGATAATGGTGAGAGAGAATGCTTTCATTATATTTCAAAGGA